GAAACAGTTACATAATACTAAAGACATGTACTAGTTTAGAAACAGTTACATAATACTAGAGAAATGTATTAGTTTAGAAACAGTTACATAATACCAGAGAGATGTACTAGTTTAGAAACAGTTGTATAATACTAGAGAGATGTAGTAGTTTAGAAACAGTTGCATAATACTAAAGACCAGTACTAGTTTAGAAATGGTTATAGTAGAGAGAGTGTTAGTTTTGAAACAGCTATATTAGATAGTTACTAGTTTAAATATGATACAGAAGAAAGATGTTTGTTTAGGAACAGTTATATGACATTAAATATAATTATTAGTTTAGCGAGAGTTTTATAGTACTAGATGGAGGTATTAGTTTAGATAGTTATATGGTACTAGATGAAGGTATTAGTTTAGAGTATTATATGGTACTAGATGAAGGTATTAGTTTAGAGAATTATATGGTACTAGATGAAGGTATTAGTTTAGAGAATTATATGGTACTAGATGAAGGTATTAGTTTAGAGAATTATATGGTACTAGATGAAGGTATTAGTTTAGAGAATTATATGGTACTAGATGAAGGTATTAGTTTAGAGAATTATATGGTACTAGATGAAGGTATTAGTTTAGAGAGAGTTTTATAGTACTAGATGGAGGTATTAGTTTAGATAGTTATATGGTACTAGATGGAGGTATTAGTTTAGATAGAGTTATATGGTACTAGATAGAGGTATTAGTTTAGAGAGAGTTATATGGTACTAGATGAAGGTATTAGTTTAGAGAAAGTTATCAGTAGACAGTTGTATGATACTAGAGAGAAAGTTGTCAGTAGACAGTTGTATGATACTAGAGAGAAAGTTGTCAGTAGACAGTTGTATGATACTAGAGAAAGATATTAGTTTAGAAAACTGAGGTTCATTGATGTTACAGGTGGACAGATGTTTGTAGCGGTGGATATCAGAAGCTATTGTGAAAAAAGTTACTCATCCATCAGGCTTACAGTGTTGCGTTTCTTAACACTAAAAGCATTTCCTCTGGGATGGTGACTAGTTTTTCCATCTCCGGTTTCAGTTTCGAATATCTATGGTTTAATTACATTCTTCTCTAGCTTTGTTTACCCGTAAAACGCACAATAATTCTACTATTTTTTTGTGATCGTATCATGCTTCTATGTTGCTCTTTAGATTAAAAGATGTATACTTAATGTTGTAATAAAATGGTTGTTTTGATGTCCTAAAACTTAAGATATAATTATGCGATATTACACTTCCGGTAGTTCCTCTGTCAATATCCAAAAGATTGATCAGAAATTCATAAAAAAAATACCAAAATATTATTTGTTTCGCTTCCTTTCGTAACGTTTTAGTTATACAATCCATACCACACGAAATACTGGATTATTCGTTATAGTTATACAATCCATACCACACGAAATACTGGATAATGGGCTTTGTATTAGTGTAAATTCACATTCAATTTTTGTTGACTAAACTTAACGTTACTTTCACTAAGCCAAATGACCTAATGGATCTGATGAGTACTTAATTGCTTGTAAAACTCAATATATTATTAACAAAATCTTCCGTGATTAGCCTTGCTAAGGTTTATAAGAAGGTAAAAAAAAAAACTTTCGAAAAGTATTTGAAAAAGGGGATTTCCAGGAGTGTTTTTACTGGACGTTCGCATCGATTGACGTCTTATTATAAATCTATTTCAATCGTGATTATTGTAATTTAATGACAATATAAAATTAAATATAGCACGGTAGGAAATGTTATATAATATGACGTTGCGGTAACACTACGGAAAATGATTTATTGACCTCCGAAAGTGACCTCTCACCGGAAGTAACGAAAGTTTCTTAGAACACCGTACTTTTTTACAATATCCACAATAATGGTTACTTCATTCAGATATTATTATCCAGTGCTGTTTTATCTCAAATAACGTTTAACAAATTGTTCTAAGCCCAAGGAAGCGGAAGTTGGTGTTTAAACAATTTTGAGAAAGATTTATATTTTTCCGGAAGTATCCGACAAGAGGTAAAATATGATTCATTGTTTAGACAGTGAATGTTTCAGTTCAATATCTTATTGATACCGTAGTTCAAGTTAAATCACCGAATAAATGACGATTTATAAGGATTTTAAGATTAATCTCTCAACTGGATAATCTCTGTATAAAATGAAGGATATGTTAAATCTTCCATAAATACGCGTTAAAATAACTTTTCATAGTATATAACATATATCTTCATAATTTTACATTTTAACATGATCTTGGGCTGATTTCAGATTTGTCAGCTGAATCTAAAATGAAGTTTTTCCGCGACGTCTAATTTTGTAGGCGAAAGTAGTATGAACAGCCAGGTGACCAATGCTGAAAAATTAAAAGTACAACTTTCCAATTTAGATACGAAACTAAATCCGAAACTAAAGCGTTCATTCGTGACCAGTTTTAAACTTCTGTCTTATTGTGTGTTTCATTCGAAGTTAATAATATTGCATCTTTAGCTTAAAATATAGGTCTTTAACGGTGGAAAATGACAATTATCTTCATAAAGGATCTTTCCATTAATTTCAAGACCATATATATTTATACATATATTTGTGTTTGTGTGTATATATGTGTGTGTGTGTATATATACATACCTCTCTCAAAATAGAAATTTTAATATATGTGCAACCCACATTGTATCTTTGTAGTGGCAATAAACAATAATAGAAATTAGTGAAAATATAATCCCGTTTTGTTTCATTCCAGATGTGTATCATTCCACCTTTTAGAAAGAGTCCTGATCACGTGCACAAATTTATGCTTGAATGATTGTTTGTTATGAATTTCGCACAAAACTACACGAGAGCTATCTGCGCTAGCCATCCTTAATTTAGAAGTGTAAGGCTAGAGGGAAGGAAGCTAGTCATCACTACCCCTCGCCAACTCTTTTACCAACGAATAGTGGGACTGACCGTCACTTTATAACGCCCCCACGGCTGAAAGGGCGAGCATGTTTGGTGGGACGGGACCCTCAGATTAGGAGTCGAGCACCCTAACCACCTGGCCATGCCGGGCCTACTGCTTGAATACAAATATCTTGATATTACTCGCACTGTCTGCTTCATGTCAGATTTCTGGGCTGACACGTGAAATTAATTTTGCACCCATTATTTGGAAACAGACGATACCTTGATGTTGTGGTACAAACACTTTCAGTTTGTTTTTGTGTTGTTAAGTACTAAGTCACACATTAGGGTTTCTTTGTTGTGCCCATCTCGAGTATCGAAATCCGGTTTATAACGTTATTGCTTTCAGACTTACCGCTTAACCACTGGAGGGGGAACATCTTCAAACTAGTCCTCACTGAATTCTATGATTGGACGAGAAGAAACTGTAGCTCCAAGGTAACATCACTGTAGCTTCTGGGAGTAAAAACTGACATGGAACACGGTAATTGGGTTTGGACGAGAAAAAATGATACGTTGGGTTCTTAGAATTGCATACATGGGTTTCACCGGTTACTTGATGGTTCAATGACCTACTCTGGGAAGAACTCTGGCTTGCTGGTTTACAAGTTTTCCTAAGTAACAGTAAATTAATTCAAATAAAATAATGATGATAAAAGATAAATTATCAGTGTTAAAATTTAAATGGAAAAAAATAATAATGACATGTTATCAATTCATCCCCTAAAGATCTGTTTTGTAAATGGCTTAAAAATGATAAAAAGTTCAATTTACTTGCTTAATGTGGTTCAAACCATGACAATGTTTTTTTCGGAATAACTGATGATATATATATAGCACCAAGACCGCTACTATATCTTTCGTGTCTCACCCGGCCTGGTATTAGACAAAATATCTCATTGGCTGTGGATATGGAGAAACATATTATCATATATTCTCCTTCCCTTTCACTCAGGGGTTCTAAAAAAAAATATACTTGAAAGATTTACAATTGAAAAAGGACAAGCCACTAAGCCTAAAATACAACAACCAAGCTAGACAGTACTGACTTTAGCAGAAGAACTATAGCTTACATAGTAAGAATGAAATGATTGTATATCTGATAGACTGTGGACAACTCGTACATTCGACTATTTTGTGTCGATGGTATATTTAGCATATTTATATTAATTATTATTTCAATTAATTAATTCATCTTAGACCCTTTCTGTATCTAGAAACTTCAGCGAATCAAAACGGTGCGTTAGTTTTGTCCTCCTAAAAACAACCTAAGCAATATATTCCTGAACTAATGAACAAAAAGGATAAGTAACTTGAAACCAGTTAAAAGTTACAAAAATGTAGGTTGGAGAAGAAGAAGACGCAGAACTATTAAAACAGTATAAGGGCCAGGAGAGGCGGGATCTTTGACAAAAATCAATCATCTTGCAACTTACTTTACACTACGATATAGGCCCAGCTTATCTATCTTTGGTTAACTTATGTTCAGGGTTATTGACGAGATGTGGAATTCTCCGAAACTGGTATAACCCAACAACACACGTTGATCAAAGTGTAGCTTGAACTGGACCTCCCTTGAACTTAGATTTCGAAGTTTGACAATTTTTGGAATACTAAGTTGATTTATTATTTTATCAATTATCTTATAACCAGTCGTATCGTCATTATTCATCTTCAAACAACCAATCTAAAACAATTCATGTTTAGTAACAAAGAGATCACAAAAAAAAAGTAGACAACGGCACTGAATTCATGGTTTCCAGCTAACTCGTTGCGGTCAAGTTTACCTATAGAAGACAGCGAATTCAGTGTTTTTCTTAATCACCTTGCCTTCCATTTTGTAGGCCCGGCATGGGCAGGTGGTTAGGGCGCTCGACTCGCAATCTGCGGGTCGCGGGTTCGAATCCCCGTCCC